CACCTGGCGGGGTTTCAGTCATGCTGACTTCTGGTCCGTGGCTATTAGTGGTGTGGGTGTGCAAACCCCCTCCACTCATTTTCTGCCCTCCTGAGCACCCACAAAGCTCGTTTGGGAAATTCGTCTGCTAAAGCGGAGAGGCGGTTTCGCGCACTGGTGCCATTTTGGCGGATCGCCTGTGGCTTGTTGTGTAAGAGAAAACACCATTGTCTGCATGGCACATCATTCTCTGCTCGAAAGCATAGGCCTAATATTATATGGAACCACTGCGGTGCATTTGGTTTAAATAAACATTCTACGCAACAGGTTGTCAGGGTGGGGGGGGGCCCGGGGGCGGGCCCTCCCCCCCCCCGGCCCTCCCCCTCCCCCTCCCCCTCCCTCCCCCTTTCTTCTGTGGGCTCTTCAGAAGTGTTTTTGTTGGGGACACTTGCCCTGAACATCAAATATACGACTTTTGCTTTGGGACAATGGTAGATATTCCTGTCATCCCTGTGGGTTCCATGGTCAAAAGCGGGAGATATGAACAAGGAATTCCTGGTTCAGATTTCAGCTCACTCAAAAACTTGGGGGTGGGAAGGCCTCAGCAAGCTCTCAGCTTTCAGTCTCAGCTCTCCCCCTGCCCCCAAATCCCTAAAATACCAGCCCGCTTGACAAGGTTCTCGTAAGAGTGGTGGCAGACAAATTTCTTTGCGTGGCTCTGGGAAAGGGCTATGCAAATACTAATGATGGCTTTTTAATGCTCCGTTGCGGCCAGTACGTGGGCAGCCCCGCTGCTCGTCCTCTCCATTTTAATGCCCTTCTTCTCCCGTAGATGCATCTATGGATTCTGTGCATGTCTTCCGAGGCTTTCTGCTAAATATTTGATCTGACGGCAGATGTCTTTGGTCTGTGAGTTTAATGGTGCATAGCCCCGTGTTTACCAAGGGGACTGGACTGGAGAGGGAGGGGCAAGAGACAAAGAGAGGGACCTTGCACACAGCTTTGTGCTTCGTGCCAGCCATGAAAGAAAGAGGGGATGTGGGGCTTGTGTCAAGGAATTAGCCTTTCCTCCCCGTCCCCTGGTTGCAAGACCACTTTAACGGCTATTACCCTGCCATTGTCGCCATCAGTGCATTCAGTTACGAGCAATCTCTGCCCAGGATGAAAAGCCTTGAATCTTTAATTACTTCCCTCATCCAGACAGGGGAAATTGGATGGCTGTTACTTAAGCAGGGCCTTGATTCTGCTTGAGACACCTCCAGTGGGAAGAGCCAAGGTGAAGGATGTCAGCAGGCCCTGGGTCCATACTGTTCTGTGCCGACAGCTTTCAGACTTCCCAGTTCCTCCATGTTAGTTGATCTGCCAGAGAACCCTAGAGTGCAGCAAAGGATTCTGGGAATCATTCAAGGGCATGAAGGGTTTGTGAGCTTCACTTTTGACTAGGGCTCCCAAACTCTAGGTGAAGCTTGGAGATCTTTCAGGATTACAACTGGTCTCCAGACAACAAGAGGTCAGTTCAAAATGGCCGCTTTGGAGGATGGACTTTATGGCATTATACGCTGCTCCCGTCCCAGTTTGGTGTAGTGGTTAAGTGCGCAGACTCTAATCTGGGAGAACCGGGTTAGATTCCCCACTTCTCCACTTGCACCTGACAGGATGACCTTGGGCAAGCTATAGTTCTGTCAGAGCTGTTCTTGAAAGAACAGGTCTCGAAAGAGCTCTCTCAGCCCCACCTTCCTCACAACTGGTATCTGTTGTGGGGAGAGGAAGGGAAAGGAGTTTGTAAGCCACTCTGAGAGAAGGGCAGGATATGAATCCAATCTCCTCCTCCTTGTCCTCCCCAGGCTCCTCGCCCAAGTCTCCAGGAATTTTCCAAACCAGAGTTGGCAGCCTTTCTGTTTGCTTTGCTTAGAGCGTAAGGAAAGTCCTGTTGCAGTCCGTATATTCCAGCATTCCGTTCCTCAACCAAATGCATTCAGGGAGCCTGCAAGTAGGGCATGGTGGGAACAGCTTTCCCTCAGTGACCTCTCCCCGTGATTGGTTTTCAGAGGCTGGAATGGGCGGAACCACTTCTAGCTGTAGGTGGGCATGCTGCTTTTGATTGCTCCCCTGTGGGGAAAAATTAAGCAAACCCCTCCATGGACACATGAAGCTCTATCAAGGTCAGTATTCCGCAGTTGATCGCCAACGTGGCATCCGTGGGTGCCATGCTGACCGCTGACTGGTTTTATGACAAAATCTTTTTTCTTCCCCTAGGTATCTCTTCCCCAAAGTAAAACCACAATCCTGACATTGTCCCACCCCACAGGAGCAGAAGGTGCTGTGGAAGAACTCAGGAGGCATCTCCTTTGTGTCTTCAGGGAGCATTCGTTCAGAAACAGTTGCCTCAGTCGTAGGGAAGGGGCTTGGCTTCCAGCCTCCCAGTATTTTGTGATTGGCTGGCTGCAGAACTCCCCGTGGCAGCCATTTTGTGATTGGCTTCAGCCCTGCCGGTAGCCATTTTGTCGTGGTGCCCACTTCTTGTTCTCAAGGTACCAAAATTGCCCGCAGTCTCAACAAGACTGGGGACCTCCGATCTATTCTGACTGACAGTGGTTCTCTGTGCTCTTTTGTATTACTGCTACCTGAACGTTTTAACTGGACGTGCCTGACCCCTTCCGCATGCAGGTCAGCTGCTCTCCTACAAAGCAGCTGCTCTTCCCCTTCTCCCAATGCCCCACAGTAAGTCTTTAGCTCCACTCTTTGACTGATAGGCTGATTGTTGTTGTTGTCGTTTTGCAGAGAGTTTTTAATGTAGGGGAGAATTCAGACGTGTTCATTATCAATCAAGCACACACTGGGTGCAGTGTCGCACACCATGCTAACACCTCAGGATTCCGCCATCTCATTCTGCTCTCACATGTAGGCCAGGCCTGATGCGCTCTTGTACGTTGAAAGAGGTGGATAATGATGGAAAATCTGCTTTTCAGCAAAGCTGATGATCCCATTGAGAAAGCCCCGATGTGTTTCCAAGAATCCCCGGTGTTCTCCACAGTACACGGCTGTGTTCTCTGATCAGAGCCACAGCCCGTCTATGGTTTCACCCTATTCTTTGGCCGTCTCGCACGGCTTTCTGAGAAACATCCCATATAATTTTGAGCAATCACATCTAAAGGGAGGGGTTGGGCTGAAACTCAATTGTCTGCTAAACTTGTCTGTATATAAAGACTCAAAGGGAAGAGATCTGTCGTGCCGTCTCGCCAAGAGCACCGGGCGTCAGAGGCTATTTATATCTGTTCTGCAAACTGGGGTTTTGCTACGGCCTGTGGCTCAAACGAGACTCAGCAATCCTCTCTGTCCTGCTTCCGTGCCAAGAAAATGCAAATAATGCTTGGGGAGGGGAGGAGGAAAGATACAGGTCAATAAAAGGATGCTCCCTTAATAGCCCGCTCAATTTGCACGCATTGTTGCAATCTGGTGGCGTCCTTTAGAACTCTGTGATGGCCGTTAACATTCGTAAGGGACGATTATCTTCTGAGCTTCGAAAATCCCCAAAGTTCTCCATATGGTCTTTGAAATAATTTTGGGGACTCCAGCCACCCCCGTTTTTTACTTCCGAGCATTTTGCATGCTGAAACTGTTTGTGCTGTAACAAGACGAAGGTCGTACCTGAGATTAAGGGGCAATCTTTCCGAATTGCCTGTTGTGCTTTCTAGACAGTGAGTGGGCGGCTACTGTGGTTGAGTGGGATGCCAGCATACAGACAAGTGAAACTTCCTTTACTGAGACAGGCCAAGGGTTCGGCGTTCTCCATCAGACTGAAAGCAACTCTGCAGGGGGGTCTTTCCCAGCCCTGCAGTCTTGAGTTCCTTTCAGCTGGCAATGACACCCATCGAGCCTCAAACCTTCTGTGCAAAAAGGTTGTGCTCCGCCACTGAGCTGTGGGTCTCTCTCTGATAGCATTTGAAGCTGTGCTTCAGCGAGGCCATGCTTATGGACTTAATGCAAAGAAGTCCATAAGCGTGGCCTTGCTGGTGCAGGCTTATGGCGCATGCTACTTACCATGGTTGGCTCGTGTGCCATAGCACAATACCAGCGAGCAAATCGAGTGGAGATTCGATGAGTTTCCCCAGTCAAACTGGAAGCCAAGGGTGATGTGTTACCCTGATAGTGCTGTCTCTCTACTCATCCACGCATTTGGAGTCCGAACCCTTCCCTGAACCACAAAGTAGTTTCTCATTGGTGGGAGCCAAGTTAGTAGGCACGGAGAATGTCTGCTCCTCTTAAGGAACTACATGTGGTGGGGGTTTTTTTTGAGGGGGGGCAGGACAATGCAGTGGGGAATTTTGCACTCGACAACCATGTTACACACACCCCTTTCCGAGTGCCCCCATAAGCGTAGTTTCATGTCGGCAGCTGTGTCGGTCTGCAGTAGAACAATGCAATTCGAGTCCAGTAGCACACACAAGATTTCCAAAGATTTTCTTTTAAGTTTCTTTTTTTAAAAAAATATTTATTTTGCCATCAAGTCAAGCCGACTTCTGGTGGCTCCTAGTGGGGCTTGGAGGCAAGGGGCGTTCAGAGGTGGCTTTTGCCATCCCCTGCCTCAAGACTCCCAGAGATTTTCGGGAGTCAAAGCTCCCTTTGTCTGATGCAAGAAGGAACGGAATCTTCATTCCTGAAAAACTGCTTATATCTGACGAAGGAAACTTTGACTCTCAGCTGCTTCTCCCCTGGACATCACATTGGGCTTTAAGGTGCTGTTGGATGCAGGTTTTACCCTCTCTATAAGCAGAGATTCAGTTGATTGGGGGTGGGTGGGCTGTGAAGGATGTCAAAATCACCAGCCAGTGAAACTGTTTTCCCCCCCCCCCCCCCCCCCCCTCCCCGGCCAGGCGCTGATGTCTAAAGTGATTGACTGCAGCCCCGTGTTCATCTGCCACCATCCAGTCTGGCCTGATTCGAGGACTGGAGCCTTTGCGACGTTCTACCGCCTGCTGGGCCTTCTGCAGATACTCACATGACTGCCTTCCTTTCTGCAGGTTGGGTACGAGAATGCCGGCACGGTGGAGTTCCTGGTCGACAGACATGGCAAGCATTACTTCATCGAGGTCAACTCTCGGCTCCAAGTAGAACACACGGTGACCGAAGAAATCACAGAGTAAGTGATGGCTGCAGCGCCCCTGCTGGGCATTACATCAGAGCGTATGTGTAAAAACTGGTTAAGGACCTAAGAAGAGTCCTGTTGGATCAGGCTGAGGTGGGCCCATTGAGTCGGGACTCCTGTTTTCCCCACAGTGGCCAACTCAGGACCTCTAAGCAGGCCAGTGCCTCTCCCTGCCGTCGGCTGCCAAGGATCGCTGTTCAGAGGTACACTGCCTCTGAATAGGGAGGTTCCATTCAGCCACCCATTGCCAACAGTACATCGTGTGCCAAAACGACCCAGAAACAAAATGAAGGGGCAGGGCTATCCAAGTTTATTTATTTATTTATTCAGCTTTATATCCCGCTCCTTTCCCCGCCAAGCAGGGCTCAGGGTGGCTTCTAACAGTTAAACAGACAATCAAATCAGCATATTACAATTTTAAGAGCCACAGATTACAAATTAGAAACCTAACAGTCGGTCTACCGTGTCCGATGGCGCCCCAGCGATCCAATCACAGGTGGGCAACTGGGGAGGCAGCCAGCGCAGAGAGACTTGGGGCCCAACAATAAATGGAAAATCAGCCCTAGAGAAAAAAGGGCAAGGAGGAGGAAAAGGTAGGGAGGAGGAGGAGGAGGATAAGATCAGGAAAGGATGGAACAGGGTAAAGAGAAATAAGACAAACAGGGTGGAAGGAGGGGAAATGGAGGAAAAGGGAGGGGGGAAGGAGGAGGGGCAGCTGATCTCTCTAGTCTGGTGTAGTGGTTAAGTGCGCGGACTCTAATCTGGGAGGACTGGGTTCGATTCCCCCACTCCGCCACTTGCCCCTGCTGGATGACTTTGGGCAAGCCATAGTTCTGATAAGAGCTGTTCTTGAAAAAGAGCAGTTTCTGTCAGAGCTCCAATCTCCTCCTCCTCCTCCTCCTCTTCTTCTTCTTCTAATATGTTGTTCACTGCCCTGAGGCCAACACACAGGAGAGGTCAATAAACAAACAAACAACCATCACTGTCGTCAACCGTACGCTCGGTGGAACATCTTGGTCTTACAGGCCAGGCCACGGGGGTCCGGCCATAGGGGGTGGGGTGGTCTCCAGGTGATGGGCAGTCAGTTTAGATTTCACTCCAAGGATGCCCCACCCCCATCACTTTCTCCAGCATCCAACATATCTATAAGTTATTTTCCTGTCAGGAAGGAATTAAGTGTGGTGCTTGAGGGCCCCATCACTGGGGGGGAGAGACCTTCTTCCAGCCCTGATTCTGGCTTGCCCAGCCGTTTCTCACTATTATCCGGAGTGCTGTGTGTAGTGAAGAGAGGCGTGTGTCTACCTAAGGACAGAGGAGAGGGAAGAAAAGGCGAGGAAGGCTCGAAATAGTCGACGAGAAGCCTGCAGGGCGGGAGAAGGAGGGGAAGAAATTGTTAAGAAAAGCACGAAGGAAGAGGTGAGTTTTGAGACGCCTTTTGTGAAATGGGAGATGAGTCAGTCTAGACATGCGGAGGAATGACAATTCTGTTCCACAATGGAGGTGCAGTGCTTCCTGATACTGAGTCAGACTGTTTCTGCGTCTCGCCAGTGTGGTGTAGCGTTAGAGTGTCTGAGCAGCACTTGGGAGACTCAAGTTCAAATCCCACCCCCGCCACAAAGCTCACCTTGGATCAGTTTAACTGACTCACAGGGTCATTGTAATAATACAGTGAGGTTTGAAGAGCCCAGTATGTCGCCCTGCCCTCAGCTCCTTGGAGGAAGGGCAGGGTAAAAACGTGACAGGTAGATGGGTAGGTGTCGTGGTCTCTGTCATGTTACGGGGCAAGAACTGTGCACAGTGCGCTCAATATTTCTTTAACAAAAATCGTGAAGTTATGAATATGAAAGTACAAAAGTAATAATAATACATTCAAGTTATAGATTCAGGTACATAAAGGTAGACGGTGACAACAACGGGACGGTAGTCTCCGGAATGCAGTGCCATTTCGACAGATGTCTTCTTCTAACCAATAGTTTGATAATGTATGAAAAGTTGCACTTCAATGGAAAAGCTCCCCGATTCACATGGAGTTTGATAACAGTTTCACCTATTACCTTGCACAAATAATGGAGGAGAACATCTCTCAGACAGATTAAACAAAACAACGGCCCACAGACTGGAAATGGTCAATTTACATTCCAGTTCTGAAAAAAGGAGATGTCAAAGACTACAGCAACTATTGGATCATTGCAATAATTTCTCTGGCAAGTAAAGCGATACTCAGAATCTTACAACAAAGACTGTTACCATATATGGAACGAGAAATGCCAGATGTTCAAGCTGGAATTAGACAAGGAAGAGGCACTGGAGATCATATTGTTACAGGATCCAGATGACTCCTCCCCACTGCTACTGGATGTCTCTGATTCCGCCCTCTCCACCACCTTGGTGTCCCACCTCTCAGGGCAGCAGGGGCCTCAGACACCTGAATGGGGGAAGGGGGGTTGCGTCACCACCCCTGCTGACCAGTGTTCCCTCTAAGCTGAGTTAGTGTGAGCTAGCTCATGGTTTTTTAGCCTCTGGCTCCCACATTTTTGCTTTGGCTCCAGAGCAAACTAATTTATGCAGTAGCCAAATCACTCACTCAGAACTTTATTGCCAGTAGCTCACAAAGTAGTGTTTTTGCTCACCACACCTTAGAGGGAACATTGCTGCTGACCCGCTCCTTATGGCTGGCTGGCTTTCTGATTCTCTCTGGGGGGTAGCCTTATCCAGTCCAGGTTGACATCCATGGCCCCCTGTTGCTGCCCTGCTTTTATTCCTCCTTCCCTCTTTCCCAGTGTTTCCTGCGCTTCCTCCTCCCTCCCTGCCTCCCAGCCCCGCCCCCCTACATAATTGAAGATGCTGGCCCTCGGGAGGGGCTGCTACTCCTTCTGGGTTGAGGCTGGGTGCTGCCGGGTGGCTCTGTTCAGGCCACTGGGCCCGGGTGTGTAGGTGGGCCTGCGCGTCAGGCCGTTGCGGCACAGGCGGGCGTGCTCCTGATGGCTCTGTTGCAGCCGCCGCCCGGGGAGAGCACATGGGCTGGCGGCAGCATCCTCCCAGCCAAGCTGGTCGTCTTCGGCAACTCGCCCTTGGCCTCCTCGGGGCCCCAGGTAAGCGGCAGAGGACAAAATGGGGGGGGTCACTGCAGGCGGCATGGGGGATCCTACTGGCGGCGTGGGGGTGCCGGGTGTCCCGACCGTGGGACACGTATTGCAAATTTATGTTGGTTACTGGAGCATACAAGAGAATTTCAGTGGAAAATCATCTTGTGTTTCATAGATTACAGCAAAGCTTTTGACTGTGTGAATCATGAAAGCTATGGTTGGTTATAAAGGAAATGGGAGTGCCACAGCATCTGATTGTTTTGATACACAACCTATACTCCGGACAAGAGGCCACTGTTCGGACAGAACATGGAGAAACAGCATGGTTTCCAGTTGACAAAGGTGTCAGACAAGAATGCATTTTATCTCCCTATCTCTTCAATCTGTATGCTGAATGCTAAGGATGCTAAGGATGCTGAATGCTGTATGCTAAGGAAGACTGGATTAGATTTAGATGAAGGCGGAGTGAAAATTGGTGGAAGGAACAGTTTGAGATACTTAGATGACACCACATTACTGGCTGAAAATAGTGAAGACTTGAAATGTCTGCTGATTGTAGGTTAAAGCAGAAAGTGCCAAAGTAGAATTACAGCTGAACATAAGAAGACAAAAGTAATGACTATTGGAGAATTACACAACCTTAAGGTTGACAATGAAGAAACTGAAATTGTTCAGTGTTTTCTATTCCTTGACTCCATCATCAACCAAAAGGGAGACCGCACCCAAGAAATCAGAAGTAGATTGAGACTTGGCAGCCATGAAGGGGCTAGGAAAGATCCTTAAGTGTAAGGATTTGTCACTGGCAACCAAGATCAAGTTAATTCATGCCATTGTATTCCCCATTACTATGTATGGTTGTGAAAGTTGGACAATGAAGAAAGCTGACAGGAAGAAAGTGGATTTATTTGAAATGGGGTGTTGGAGGATAGTTTTACAGATACCGTGGACCACCCAAAAGACAAAATAACTTAAAAAAAAATATTGTGAGGCATTGTGTGTGGAAGAGCCAGGAGATCCCAGAGGCTTGTTTGGCTGCCTGAAGCTGTAGCTCTTTTTTGGCACCACTAGGTGGCGAGCTATGCTTATTTTTAGGCTGCTGTGACTTGCCCAAGGTCAGCCAGCCGGCTTCAAGTGGGGAAGACAAATAAGTGGATCTTAGATCAAATCGAGCTTGAACTGTTCCTAGAAACTAAAATGACTAAACTGAGGCTATTGTACTTTGGTCACATTACGAGAAGGCAAGAGTCCCTGGAAAATACAATAATGCCAGGCGAAGTTGAAAGCAGTAGGACAAGAGGAAGACCCAGCATGGGGTGGATTGACTCAATGAAGGAAGCCTTGACTCTCAGTTTGCAAGACCAGAGCCAGGCTGTTGACGATAGGATGTTTTTGGAGGGTCACCATAAGTCGGAAGTGACTTGATGGCACTGAACACTCTCCCTCTCCCAGGTTGCCCAAAGCCAGCCTCACTACACTATTGCTCTGTAGTGCACCAAGCAGCCAGGTGGTGGTGGGGAGGGGGTCAGGACTTGTGCAGACTCTCTCTAGTTAAAGGTAAAGGTAAAGGTTCCCCTTGCTCGAAAGCCAATCGAGTCCGACTCTAGGGTTGCGGTGCTCATCTCTGTTTCCAAGCTGAAGAGCCAGCGCTGTCCGAAGACGTTTCCGTGGTCATGTGGCCGGCATGACTAAACACCAAGGCCCACGGAACGCTGTTACCTTCCCACCGAAGTGGTCCCTATTTATCTACTTGCAATTTCTTGCTTTCGAACTGCTAGGTTGGCAGGAGCTGGAACTAGAGACGGGAGCTCACTCCGTCATGCACACTCGGGTCTCGAACTGCTGAACTACCGACCTTCCACAGCCTGCAGTTCAGCGTCTTAACCACTTGAGCCACCGCAGCTCTCTAGT